TATTTAATATTCTATAATAATAACTCTTGTGCTCTTAGTGCCCACTCTATCTCTCTTAACAACCAAATCGACTTTGGGAAAATTGAAAAAACAATACAATATCCGATCCGATATTATATTATTTTCTTGTTAACATACTGTGACATTTTTGTGACTTTTTAATGTTTGTATAAATTTAGAAAAAACACTTAATGTGTTTTTACTGTATTTTTATTGATATTTTTTAAATGTATGTTCTAACACCTAAACCTACGCATTTGACATTGTTTGACATCTTTATCATCTCTATCATTATAACTCAAGAAGTGTAGAAATACTGCACAAAACGTTTTCTATTAAAATATTGAAATAGCTTTTTTATTTTTTATTTCTCCTTGGCCAATATCCTCATTTACATTGAGATTTTTATCCCACTTGCATTGTATAATCTGCGAGCAAGTAAATGAATATTATGGGTGGCCTACGTTACTGCCAATGTATTCCAGAGGTAGCGATGTTATATTGCGGAATTTGACTACATTGGAGATGACAAGAAATTTGGCATTTTTTACCGTTCAATTTATTTTTTAACGAAATTCGATACTGAAAATTCCATAAAAACTGTATAAATCATTTACGGTAAGTAAAAAATTATTTTTTCACGGAATTTTTTCGATTTTGTTTATTTTTATATAAAGTGATAAAAATCCAAAGTTAAAATTCTCTATAAACACATTTGATGGTGTATTTTTTATTAAGTCATATAAAATAAACTATAAACTATCATCCGTCATTCTCATGACTTGGATGATATAAAACATAACATTTTTTTACGTGTCATTAAAATAAATCCAAAGCAACAAACGAACCCAAGGAGAAACATGAACAAACTGTTATCCTAGTCTCAATTGCTAATGCATTGTCTGACGCCTAGCAAAGCAGTATCAACAATGTACAAATTAGCGAATAGTTAAAATAGATACACAGACAGTTATGTGAAAAGAAAATTCATATATTAGTTTGAATTTATGCAAGGACATTAGCAACATGTCGGTCAGATATCTCATGTCGGTCAGATAGCTCAGCGGGCTGTGCGGCTGCCTCTCATTCGCTTCACTGTCGAATGGTTCAGTGGATGTGGGTCGAGCCCCAGCTCGGTGTACGGAAAACAAAAAGTCTAACGCAGCAGTTTAAAATTCTAGATGAACCTGCGGCTTAGACTAGGATATGCTGGGATCTGATCGGCCTATGGTGGAGCAGTACGGCAAGAGATAAGGGCTTGCGGCTCGGTGATACTCCTCCATAGATCTCTACCGGACGGGCGTAACGCCTAAAAAAACCGGATATATATACATTAGCAACATCAGGCTACAATTTTCATAGTAATGCTATGGAAACAATAGAAACATTGAATTAAAAGTGGAATTCAAACATATTCTTTATGTATCTCCTTTTACGTCCTTAATTTTTACTGTCTTGAATTTTCTTTGTTCTTTTTCTTGACTTTTGGTCCACGTTTTGTATCTTACTGGTCTCTTATCCATGACCAATTTTACCGCAAAAGCTGTGCTCTTCGCAGGTTTTATCCTCCCGTTCGTAGTTCTATTCGTCAATAGAATATAGTCAATATTATTGAAAATATATTATTGAAAAATAGGTATAAAATAAAATTTTACATATCTCAACGTTTTATCCTTAAATTAACTATTCCTTAACAAGGGTATAATAGATACTTCAATAATTGTTAATGTTACATTAACTATGAATAATCAGTTAGAGAAACAAATCAGTGACGTAACAAACATGCATTATTCTTCTTTAACATAAAAATAAATATTTTAATTACATTTCTACTGATTTTCAAGGATTTTGTTGGAGGTGGGAGTTTTTAAAATATTATGTTTTGTTTGTAAGCTATTTTTAAAACTCCTATTCACGTGTATTGCAAAACATACGCTTGTTTCAAGTAAATTAATGTTAATGCATTTTTAAATTCTTCTGGCACTCAGTCAAATTGGTAATGTAATACCTACTTATTCGTATCCTGAACAAATATTTTTTTCTTTGTTTTTAATTTTTTTGGAAATATACTGCCAGTTTACATGAATCGATATTTAATTAACTAGTACATTAACAATCTTATTTACATGTTTGAAGGTGGGCCTCAGAATGAACTTGTCCAAAAATAAATTTATGACAAATATGGTCCCCAATAACCATTTAACTATTCAAAACAAAGTAGTAGAACTGGTGCAGAAATATGCGTATTTGGGTCAAGAAATAAGAATCAGCAGGGATAACCAAATATGTGAAATCCAAAGACGAATTACTTTAGAGTGGGCAGCCTTTAAAAAACTGCGAGATGAACTTGGGGCCAACATACCAATTAGCCTCAAAAGAAAAATATTTGAGCAATGCGTTTTACCAGTCATGACCTATGGGGCGGAAACTATGACTCTAACCATGACTACGGTTTTGAAATTAAGAGTTGCACAAAGACGAATGGAACGATCTATGCTGGGAGTGACGTTGCGGGACCGAATAAGAAACGAAGATCTTCGAAGAAATACGAGTATTGCTGATGTTGTGGAACGCATAGCGGAACTTAAATGGAATTGGGCAGGCCATATAGCGAGGATGCATGACTCACGATGGACGAGTAAAATTACACATTGGAGGCGAAGAGCAGATAAACGTAGTAGAGGAAGACCACCTACACGTTGGGCTGACGACATTAGACCTATTGTGCATGAGAATAAAACCTCCGAGATACAAATTTATTTTTCCCGATATTGCAGACGAATGTTGTGCACCGAGGAACGATATTGTTAAGTTACCAAATCCCTCGTTTCCTGAAGGAACTGCTAGAACACATTGGAACCTTTCTTTTTCAGTTGATTTTTCTAAATATGAAATTTTTTTCTAATTAGATACATCTTGTTTTGGCATATTTTTCAAATGTTTCTATTTTTTTTTATTATTGTTATTGCAGGGTTAAATAATACCTAGTTACTTTCTTTAATAAATTTAATTTTAACTCATGACTTTATCGTTACCTACTACTCTTGTCTAAACCCTCAATATGCTTGCCTCAAACTTCCCTTTGCTTGTCTCAAGCCTCCCTTCATAAGGCATGTTGACAAGTGCATGTTGTACTTAAATCATTTATTTTTTGCTGAAATAACAATTTTTTAAATAATCATACTACTGCGGTAAAAAACTAAAACCCATAGTTAGTGAATATGTAAAATACTTTATACAATTACTAAAGCAAGACAGAAAATCAGTCGCTTGTTTATTATGTTTACTGTTACACCCACAATTCAAAATTAAAAAATAGTATCACTAGGTAGAAAGAAATACTCATGGCTCCGAAACCTTCATCAATGTACTGGCTTATCACCAGATGAATTATTACATGTCGCGCAAGATCAAGAACGATATCGGCAAATCGTCATGGAAGCTACCCACGCCTAAAACTTGGGCACAGTACTCAAAGAAGAAGAAGATCACTAGGTTAAAAAAGAAATCAAACCCCAATAATCTCTCTTCCACAGAAGAGACAGATGAACCTCTATCTCAGGCAAAATTTTGTCTGATTCCTTTATTTTACAGTGGAGTCTTAATGGTTTTTATACCCGTTTAAAGCACTTAAAACCTCTAATAAATGAAATATGCTCTAAGATCTTATGCCTTCAAGAAACTCATCTTAAACAATTAAATATAAATCTTGGAAATCATTAATATTTTCCTAAAAAACAGAATAGTACAACAGGCCCGTGTTATTCGTAAGAACAGACCAAGAAGCTAAGACAATTGCATTAAATACAAATCTCGAAACTGTAGCCCTGCACTGATCCACTGACCGTTAAATGTATCCTGCTTGATTGTCCGCAATTCATTGAAAAGTAAGATCCCACGGAATCACAGATGATGATCTCAAAACAGTTTTCACCAAAAAAATTTTTCAAGAGTGTCAACCTATTTAATGTAATATGTCTTCTGTTTGTTATATGTTATATCCACTAATAACCCTGCGCGGTTGATGTGGTTTTGTATTCAAATAAGAAAATTATTTAGAAAGTCTAAAAAGCATAGAAGCCTTTAAAAAAAAACTTTTATGAAGACGACTTTAACGAGGGAGATAAAAAAACTCATTTTTGGCAATTTTGACGTTTTAATTAATTTTTAAATAATGATCATGTGAAATTAAACCGATAAATTTATGAAAAATTTTTTTCTTTTGACCTAAGCTTTGATTTGAAAAACGTCCCAATTGGACACCTAATATAATACATTTTTTTATTTTGACCGGACTATTGTAGCATGACAAAGAGACATGACTCAATATAAATTAAAGATATCTTTCCTTGTCTAAGAATTAAAACATAGTACGAAAAAAAATTAGCCATGCATTAAATAGTATATTACATAACGATAGTTGTAAGAAGCTTATTACATGCGAGTAAAAAAGTTGCGCGCGAGCCGCGTAGCAGCGAGCGCAGTAATTTTACAAGCATGTAATAAGCTTACAACTGAAGTTGTGTACTATACTTTTTCTACGATTATTTTTGTTTATAAAAATAAAAAATTACCACTATATTTACACTGACAGATTATTAATTTTTAATCTGTCAAAATAACGTCTGTTAATTCGTTTCCATGGTAAATCGACCAACTGACTTACGAGGCTTATGTGATATTAAACATTTTTATAATACTGAAGCGTAGTTTTTTTTATTACGTGCTAGTCATTACGTGTCAGTATCTGTTATGATGCATTTACTTACCATCTAAATAGTAGGTAATATACAATTTACTAGTAAGAGAGTAGAAAAAGACTATTTTACTGATTTCATGTTGTAGCTAATTGCCATAACATTTTTTGACAGATGTACATAAGTTGGTATTGATATTTGATGTGAAATTCTTAACGTCAGATATAAACAATTCCTAAATAAATTTGTAGTATATTCCTTTGATAGACAATAGTTAATATTTTTTAAATATATTTCACTTACCTTCTATCACAGATAAACTCCCATTCGATGGCTCTTGAAGTGCCATAATATGTATGATCGTAGACGAAAGAACTACATTTGTACGGTAAATTTGTGGTGCTATTAATCAGAGAACATTTGTCGAATTTTCCTGAGTCCAGCAAAGGAAAATGTTTAGTCATTTCTGTGAAGTTCAATTTTGTATATGTTTGGTTTAAGTCGTAACCGGGAATTTCACACCTACAAAACATTTTTTTTATTTTAACATTTTAATTTTCATACAATACATTAAAGAGTACATTTTGTGTAATTTGGTAAATGTTACACTAAACCAAGTGTTATGTTTATGTTAGAAACTATAAAGTTTTACACTATGTTTGATTGCGTTGTTTGCTCGTAAAATTTAAAAAAATTACTTCATAGAGTTTCTAATGATAAACAGCTTATGGTAAATATAGGTATTGCGTGAGTTCAAAAATGTGCAAATACCTATTATAATAGAAACGTAATTTTTAAAACATTAAAATTATTGCTCTTATCGAAATGACATATGGACTAGGCTGATACGTTTTGTAAAAACGGGATTGTCCCGTTTTTTTTTTTAAATTAAATTAAATCCAGGGAGACTTTACAACTTTGAAGAAAGAAGAAATTAGAATAACAACAGTGAAGACAAAACACCCTCGCGTTATTTCCTTAAAAGGTAAAAAGCAACTGTGCGCCGTGAATGCTGCTGAGAGATATTTACGAGTCACAGTGGTGTTTTGTATGAGCGCAATTGAAGGATTCATAACACCTTTGTTCGTGGTCTCCCGGAAAAACGTGAAAGCGGAGTTCTTAGATGGTGTTCCTCCCGGATCGCTAGCAGCATGTCATCCATCAGGCTGGATTCAACAACTTATATTCACACAGTGGATTAAATATATCCATCATATAGTGGAACCGGAAATGATACATCAGGAAATGTAGATCTGGGCAATTAGAAAGGAAGACAAAGTCAAGTTATGTGATCATCAGCACGCCATACAAGAACGAACTCGAAATTGGCATATAAGATAAGGAAAGGAAGGGGACTACAAAAGAACAAATTATTAAAAAAAAGCGCAAAAGAGCCTAAAAATAAATATAGGAGCAAAGCTACTTTGCCACAATCAAGCGGAAAATTCACAATTAACAAATCAGTCAAATTAACAAATCAGTCAAGCGGAAAGTTCGAGACTCGGACGCGTTGAGCGACTCTGAAGAGGATTCTAATATTCTAGATGACGACTCTTATATGGATGCTAGTGATGATGACGCAGAATGTTTTACTGTGGATTTTTTCGGAGGATACCAAGGGAGAAGAGTGGATCAAGTGCCAGTCTAGTCAACGATGAATACATGAGGATTGTACCAATATTTTTAAAAGGAAGACGTTTTTTTGGAAAAATAAATCTTGATTTAATTTTTCTTCATAATATAAATAAATGAAGTTTATATTCCTAATGTTTACATTTATTGTTTCTACTTAAATTAATATCCGAAATTAAGATACCAGTGTGTCCGAAATTAGGCAATCAATTTTTAATACACCTAATCTGCCCAAATTTTTTTTAATTTTTATTTTCTGCTGTCTTTTCCCAACAAACATCCTATTTATACAGGGTGTAAAAAAAGGTAGGTCATAAATTAAATCACGTATTTTGGGACCAAAAATAGTCCGATTGAACCAAACTTACCCTGGTACAAATGTGCACATAAAAAAGTTAGAGCCCTTTGAAGTTACAAAATAAATGTATTGTTTCAAATGAAAATCGATATTTATATTGAAAATGCACATGTGACTTCCTTATGGCAGAGATATATTAAAAAATAATTACAGTGCAATTTGTACAACCCATAAAAATTTTATGGCGGTTTTGTTCCCTTAAACCCTCCCAAATGTTTGTATACGTGTTATGGCGAGCACGCCACTGCATGTGTGTGTGTTTCATCTCAATATTCAAGACCCTTTGGAAGATGATAAACACCCATGCCGAGAATCTCTAAGTGTCTACGTATTATCAAGAACTATGAGAGGTTTTTTGTAGATATAGTGTGTATTTCTTAAGTTAGTATAATTCTGTAACCTAAACTGTAAACATCTGAATAAATTTGTGCATTTCCTTCAGAGTTTTTCGTTACTTAATTCTCCATCGAACACATATCATTTTATAAAGAATAAAAGTAGCGCAGTCAGTAGAATTTCCAATTAGAAAAAGTAAAGCCTTTTTTTAATCGATTTTAATCGTTAATTGGAAAATTGGAGAATTAGTGACTTAGTATTTGAGTTCCGAGTGTAAGGCCACGAGGAAGGAAAACTGAAGGAACCCGTAAGCAACTTAGAAGAATTAGAAGAATTCCAAGTGTAAGGCCACTTGTTGTGTAAAGCCACAAAGTAATTCGGAAGTTCTGGGGAGGCGCAACTAGCAACTTCGTGAAATCTTCTCAACCAGCTTCAGTGAAAAGCCACTCGACCCTGGAAACGGTGAAGCATTTCCACAGAAGAAGCAACAACATCTCTACAGTTTAGAATTTCAACCAGTTCCAGTGAAAACCCAGTTGATCCAGACGATACAACGTTCTCCACCCGTTCTCTACCCGTTCCTGTGTAAATCCACTTGATCTGAGACGTTTGCTGCAACGTTTTCGACACGTTCTCACGGAAGTACTTGAGGTTAGTCGAATTATATTCATTTTTTATTTGTTTTCATTTTTTTATTTACTCTGTTTCGCAATTTTCAAACTTTTAAGCTATCATATCTAGTATTTGCATTTTTTTATTTGTTTAATTTATTTTTGTTAATACAATGGCAACTAACGACGTAACAGCAACTACGCCAATAATTTCCGCTACCACCTCTAATAATTATATTAATTGTTACAAAGCTATCAAGCTTATAAATGTTTTTGATGGGTCTTCTTCAAAATTACATTATTTTATAGATTCTGTTGATTTTATTTTTGCAAAATTTGACCCAGCGGAAATGCAAATTTTTCCTTTTATTGTAAAAAGCAGGTTAGAGGGAAAAGCTCTTGATTTCATTGGCTCGAAAGAATTTTCGACATGGCACGAAATAAAAAAGGCTCTCCTTTCTCAGTTTGGTGAAAATTTGGATTTGCAGTGTCTAAATTTTGAGTTATGTCACTTTAAGCAAAGTTCTAATGAAAAACCTACAAATTTTGTTGATAGAATTGAAAAACAATTAATTAGAATCAATAAAGTTATCAAATACGATTCAAATTTGAACGATGTTGAGAAAAAATGTTTAAATAATTTTCACAGTAAGACTGCAATTCTGACCGCTATTACGGGCATAAAAAAACCTTTGTGTCAAATGCTTCGCTCTTTAAATCCTAGTTCGTTAATTCAAATTAAGCAAATTTTAAACGATTATGAAAACCAACAATATTTCAAACAAACAAATGACAAGTTTTCTAAATTAAATATAAATGATGACAATAAAATTTCGTCAAGTACTGCAGGTACTCAAAAAACATTTTCTGATCCCGGTTCAACAAATCAATCGATAAATCCACCGATTAAATTAACTATTCCAAAGTGCACTGTTTGCCATAAATATGGACATAAAGCAGAAAAATGTTATCGTAAACCACAATCTCACAATGTTGTTCATAATACCTATTGCGACAATGATAGTTCAGAAAAAGAAATAGAAATCGAAGTTGATCATGATTTTTTTAGAGCAAGTGCCGCTGACAACGTTACAGTTTACCAAGTAGCAAATAAACCGCTTCTTTACGCGCATATTAAAAATTTGAATATAAAATTATTAATTGATTCAGGAGCAGCTATATCAATATTGAAACCTGGTAAAATTTTAGATTCTTATCACTTTAATCATGAAGATTTTAAAATATGTGGTATTAATAACGAACCAATTCAAGTTACAAAGAGCGTAAATTTTAAGTTATTTTCGAGTGTTCAGAAATTCTATATAGTAGACATAAATTCTCCTTTTGATGGAATACTTGGTTATGATTTTTTAGAAAAGAATAAATGTGTTATTGACTTTGGTTTAAATACTTTATTTGCTAATCATGAGGAAATCCCTTTGTTTTCATCTGATCGGGAACATAATATATTGAGTCTAAATAATATACACGAACATCAAGTTAGAAGTAATAATGTTATCGACTTAAGTGAAAAAATCGATACTACTGTAAGTAAACAAAAATTAGACGCTCTGCCAAGAATTCGATTAAACCATGTCTATCAAAAACAAAATGAAAATACGGAATTTGAGAATATTAAAACTAACGTAAATTTAAATAACTTTACCTACTCTAATGAGCAAATCTTAGACGTTAACAATAAGACTATTTTATATTTATACGATGAGAATGACAGAAATGTAAATCATTTCGAAATAATCAATGATAATTTTCCCACTGTTGGTGACTCGGATTTTGAAAAAATATTAAAGTTATATAACGAAAATCGTAGTAGAGAGATTACTATAGTTAAAATTAAGCCACACCATTGCCTTGAGAATTTTAATACTTTGAAAAAACTAGTATTAGTTAGAAATAAAACTTATTGCATACCTTATTTTGAAAGTAATATTTATTATAAAATGCTCAGTTTCCTTTACCCAGACGTGAACTTTATAATTTGTAAAAATATCGTTACTATGCCGCCTGTAGAAGAAAGGCAAAGGATAATTTTCGAATATCATAACGACCCGGGTAATTATCACAAAGGAATTAATGAAACTGCAGACAAAATTCGACAACTTTATAAATGGAAAAATATGTATCGAGAAATAACCGAGTTTATTACTTTATGCCCTACTTGTCAACTCTCAAAATTTGATCGTAGGAATCGTACTCAAGGTTTAAATGTAAGGCATTCTCCGGAGAAACCATTTGAGGCTTTATCTGTAGACCTGTTCTTTTTTGATAAACAAAAAATGCTCACCGTTATAGATAATCTAACAAAATTTGCACAAGCGCATATTTTAACTGATAAAAACCCAGAAACGATAATTAGTAAATTAAAAAATTATTTTTCGCTTTTCGGCCTTCCTAAGATGATTATGTCAGATCACGGGGGTGAATTTAATCATAAAAAGGTGCAAAATTTTATTAATTCATTGAATATTGAATCGCACCTTACTTTGTCTGAGTACCATGCCTCTAACGGTATAATTGAGCGCTTCCATGCTAACATAACAGATACTTTGCGAAGTTATCTTTTAGAACATAACCAGTGCGACTTAGAAGATGCACTTTTAGTCGCTATACACTCATATAATTCTAGTAAATATCATTCAACATCCACTACACCCTATAGTTTAGTATTTCCATATAAAAATGATAGAGAATTTGAAATTTCGTATAATAATCAGTTTCAAAAGGAAAAAGCAAAAGAAACGCTTTGATAACTTAAGAACGAGCAACTTGGAAGTAAAGTATAAAGTTGGAGATAAAATTCTCTTAAAAAGACCAAGAAATCCAAATACACCAAAATCGGTATTAAATACAGGACCATATGTTGTTCTTGAAGTCAATGAAACCAATAAAACTCTAAAAATTAAGTTAGATAACAAGGTTATTCGAAAATTTCATTTTAATAATGTAAAACCATTTTATGATGCTATTAACTAAACGAAGTTGAAGTGTAACACGGCAAGTAGTAGATATGACCTTTCATTATCCATATTATAAAGGGATTTTAATCAATAATAACTGCAACATATAATTCGATTACCTTGTGGTACACTTCATCTACGGCCTTCTCATAACAACAACAGTAGAATGAGTTATTGCCGGTTGGTTTTTTTGTTCCATGTGGCCCTACCTGCCCTGTGCGGAGTATATCTAGAGAGGCGCCAAAACTTCGAAGCTGTAAAAGAAGCCCTTCTTGAACACCCCAGCTTCGGTCTTCAGGAGGGAGGTGTTATGGCGAGCACGCCACTGCATGTGTGTGTGTTTCATCTCAATATTCAAGACCCTTTGGAAGATGATAAACACCCATGCCGAGAATCTCTAAGTGTCTACGTATTATCAAGAACTATGAGAGGTTTTTTGTAGATATAGTGTGTATTTCTTAAGTTAGTATAATTCTGTAACCTAAACTGTAAACATCTGAATAAATTTGTGCATTTCCTTCAGAGTTTTTCGTTACTTAATTCTCCATCGAACACATATCATTTTATAAAGAATAAAAGTGGCGCAGTCAGTAGGATACGAACCTACGCTCCCATAAATTATTATTTAGATATCATTAGTTAAATACAATGTTTTTAAAACATTTTTGCCACTTAGTACTTTTCAGATAAGCCAGTTTTTATCGAAATGGGTCTACTTTTTTATTATAGTTTAAAAATTCTCTAGTCAGCTATAAAATACCTGTTGCTATGGTTACTACGTATTGCTACGTTTGAGCAGGCTAACTTAGGGTTTTAGATAATTATTGGTAATTTAGTAATTACAGGTGAATACCAAGTTAATAGTGCAGCAGCTGCAAGGCGTTATGCAGAAAAAAATATCCTAATAGAAATACACCAGGCAGACGATTATTTCTTTCCATTGACCGTCGTTTATGAAAGACAGGCACATTGTGACCGCAACTTGTTGGTAATAATGGTCGACCAAAAGTAGATACAAACGAAGAAGAGATTTTGGAAGCAATTGAAGAAATCCCTGGAAGCAGTACAAGAGTAGTAGCGGTTCAATTTAATGTTTCTCGCATAATAATTTGAAGAAGATTCAAGGAACAACAGAATGACTGGATAAAGATTATCCTAAAAGAACGAGCGATTGATTTTTAACGAAAAATATTCAAAATGTCAATTTTATTAATTATGTTTTGTTTATCGACGAAGCTACCTTTAATAGAAATGGCATTACGAACCATCATAACGCACACATCTGCGCCGAAGAAAACCTCCACGTAAAAAAGTCTCTTATCACCAAAGAAAGTCAATGATTGGACAGGAATTTTGTATAATAACCTAATAGGGCTACTATTTCTTTCAAACAATTAAAACGGTGAAAATTATTTACACTTTCTACAAAACGTGTTACCAGAGTATTTAGACCAGGTCAATCTCGCAGTTACGAAACATTTGTGGTTTTTACAGGATGGCGCTCAAGTGCCTTGCCATAATGAAATAAGAGAATATCTTTTCAATCAGTATCCTGGATGTTGGATTGGAAGGAGCCTTGATGCGCCTAATTTCTTGGCAACCAAGAGGTGCAGATCTTAACCCAATTGACTTTTGCTTCTAGGGTTTTATGAAAGGGTACGTATTATCCGTACCAATTATGAACGAACAACAACTAAGGAATATAATCATGAAAGCTGCAAATCGATTTCTTCAGAAGCCCATGATTTTCCAAAATATGTGTGTATTTAAGAAAATGGAGGTCATTTTGAACATTTGTAAAATCCACCACATATTTGTAAATGGTTAAGTAAGATATAAAGACTTGGTAATAATATGAAAATAATATGAAACTCTTTTGGTACTCAGAAATTTTGACATATATTAAAAAGTAGCCGCATCTCGATAAAGACTGGCTTATCGAAAAAGTATTAAGAGGTAAAAAAGTTTTTAAAACATTGTGTTTAACTAATGGTACTACAATAATAAGTTAATTGGAACGTATACAAACATTTGGAGGATTTAAGGGAACATAAACCCCATAAAATTTTTGTGGGGTGTACAAATTTCACTGTTAACTTTTTTCCGATATTCCTGTCATAAGAAAGTCACATATCTATTTTCAATATAAAGTCTTGAACAGTGTTTGATATTGGAAAAAATCTAGTTTAATTTTTTAACTTCAAAGGGCTTTAACTTTTTTTACGTGCACAGTTGTACTAAGGTAAGTTAGGTTTGTGAAAATGAAAAAGATTTTATGCAGCAAAGATCTGACATTGGCCCTCAGAATAAAGCTAATTAAATGCTACGTACACAGTGTACTCTACTATGGAGCTGAATCATGGACATTAAACCGGCATACAACAAATCGACTTAACGTGTTTGAAATGTGGACATTCAGAAGATTGTTAAGGATTCCATAGGTAGATAGAGTCACGAATACAGAAGTGTTAAGATCTAAGAATAAGAAGAGAATAGGTAGAGAGATGGATATGGACAATACAATAAAAGAAAGTAAGTTGCAATATCTCGGACATGTGATGAGAGGCGAAAGATACAACATCTTGAGACTCATAATTCAATAAAAAATAGAGGGTAGAAAAAGCGTAGGAAGAGGACTCGTTTCCTGGTTTAAGAATCTGAGAGAGTGGTTTGGTTGCATCTCAAGGCAATTGTTCAGAGCAGCTACTTCGAAGGTCAGAATAGCCATGATGATTGCCAAATTTCGTTGTTAGGGTAGAAATTAGGTTCAAATTATTTTTGGTCCCAGAATACGCGATTTAATTAACGACCTTCCTTTTTGTTACACCCTGTATTTATTGTTTCGATTTGCCATAATATGAACTTGTTATCGAGTAATTACATGTCAAAATATACAGTTGTTCAAAATCTATAAGCAAAAACAAAAAGCTATATATGTAAATAGGCGCCTTTCCGCTACAGTATATGGTGAAGAAAATCTTAAAAATTTGTAATTTAACATACTGGATTAGATAAAATAAGAACCATTATGACAGTAAGCCATTTTAGAAAGAAGGGGGTAGATAAGAAGAAGGATTTATGGTTTTTAATATTTAATACTGTTGTACTAGTCATTAACACGATTTGTTTTTTTTTATTACAATTCTGCTTTCAAATATCTATTTTTTATTGTTCTACATTAGTACTTAGAATTTAGTTTTTCATTGTTATTTATTTGAAACTTTAATACTATGACTCTCACCTATGTTCTGGAACTGCTGCAACTGTGACCAATGTTAACATATTAAGACCAGCTGTCAATGCAGATAAAATATGTAAGGTGAACTGCCATGCTTGGTATTTTCCGAAGTCACCTGCAAAGTAAAAACAAATATTAAAAACGAAACTTTTTGTACATACACATTAATATAATAGTTTATCATACGAATGTAATTCGTAATATTTACAACGATTTGAATCATTCAGTTCGAGCAACAAATTGTATTAAATCGTGAACCTTTGGTAATTTGTCATCATTTTCGACGTGCATTAACACTGCAGCTGATCAACTTTATTCCACTGAAGGCAGTAGAATTCATTATTTAAGAAAGAAAAATATAACAGAAAATAAGAACAATGAAACGAAACATTGTATGTTTATTGATCTTGAGCTATTTTTTTGTGGCATTTTAAATTAATTACTATTTAACTGGGAATAAGCCACAATTAAAGATAAAAATACGTTTATTGACGTTTCAATCTCCACTTCGGAAATCGTTCTCAAAATACAAACAGTAAAATAAACAAATTTTGTTTTTTGTTACATAGTGAAAAATTCTTCTAATAATTTAATTTTATCTGACTCATTTATATTGACAATTCAAACATACATTATGCATTTTAAAGTAGACGACTTTAAAATGATATTGCCAATATTGTTGAGTTGCGCTCCTGGGACGACTTTACTTATAAGATAGTTCATTCGATTACATAAAATCAACTTTAACTTGAGAATATCCGTCAGAAAAAAATCATAGCATGTAATTCGTCTTTAAAAAGACAAATACATGACATGATGGCAGTAAAATTCTCCTGTTAGTGATTCCATAGTAAATTATCAGGGAAAAACCAGGAAAAAAACCTCATAATACTATCCCGAGATGGTATTTGTTCGTGCATTTAGTTTACCGTCAATAAACACCAAAATTCTGATTTTATGTTTCGTTATTTAAAAAACATAAATGATGTATCCTCTATATGTTACTGATGTATCCTCTATATGCTTACTAATACTGGTATTTTTTTATTAATAACTTCCTCTTTCAATATTGGTAACCAGATCCTACTACATTCTGTCGAGGAATTTGCGACACAATTGGCCTTATTTAGCATAATTAGAGCCGCTTCTTTGATTTTTCTTTTTTTACCATCCGTTTCTTTTAGGACTACATTTGATTTATTCCATTGAACCCTATGTTCATTATCCCATGCGTGTTTACATATTTGAGATCTATCAAATTCTCTATTTTTAATATAAGATAATTATTTAATATAATTTATAATTAATAAATTTTTAATATAATATTCTCTATATTTAATATAATTAAATATCAGTTAATATAATAAAATATAATTAAATATATGTTAAGTCAGTAACATATAGAGGATACATCATTTATGTTTTTTAAATAACGAAACATATAAAATAAGAATTTTGGTGTTTATTGAAGGTAAACTAAATGCACGAACAAATAATTACCATGTCGGGATAGTATTATGAGGTTCTTTTCTTGGGTTTTCCCTCATAATTTACTATGGAATCACTAACAGGAGAATTTTACTGCCATCATGTCATGTATTTGTCTTTTTAAAGACGAATTACATGCTATGATTTTTTTCTGACGGATATTCTTAAGTTAAAGTTGATTTCATGTAATCGAATGAACTATCTTATAAGTAAAGTCGTCCCAGGAGCGCAACTAAACAATATTGGCAATATCATTTTAAAGTCGTCTACTTTAAAATGCATAATGTATGTTTGAATTGTCAATATAAATGAGTCAGATAAAATTAAATTATTAGAAGAATTTTTCACTATGTAATAAAAAACAAAATTTGTTTAATTTACTGTTTGTATTTTGAGAACGATTTCCGAAGTGGAAATTGAAACGTCAATAAACGTATTTTTATCTTTAATTGTGGCTTATTCCCAGTTAAATAGTAATTAATTGTATATTTAGTTAAGACCTTTGATAGTCATGATACCGTGAAAAAAGCTAAAAAAATAATAATAATATATATATATATATATATATATATATATATATACAAGAAATACTTAATATTATTGACTGTCGATATAAACAAATAACACAGTTTATTAGGGTTGCAGTCAGAATATTGGCCGGGATGTACTTTACTTTCCATTCTCTGCATGAGTTAATATTATATACCAGTAAAACAGATGCCATCAACCAAGTTTTACTATTTTTACAATAAATTTTAAAAATTTTATAATGTATTCTGTCCATAATTGTATATTTTAATGTTTTAATGTGTGTTATAAATGTTGAGTGTCAATGCTTATATAAATAATCTCAACGACTAGTAAGTTACACTGAAGAATTGTGATATTTTTAAATATTTACATTTTTGTCTTATTACAGTGTCTTGAAAAAGGAATAAAACCATTCCGAAAGCTCGACAAAAAAGTCAAAAGAGTGTTTTTTTAACATCCCGGCCAATATTCTGACTGCAACCCTAATAAACTGTGTTATTTGTTAGTTTTTACTGTAAGGTTATCTCAGCCTGACGGACTAATCTATTCTAATTCTAATTATAACGTTTTTTTTTTGGAAAGATTAATCATAATAAGCATTTTAGGATTAGGAGAAGGGTCACACTTTTTTCGCCAAGGGGTCGTTCTAAGCATTTTTTTTAAACAAATATTGGGTAGACCACGATAAGGTAGGTTTATAAATAAAAAAAGATATAGGTACTTAAGAAAAGAAAACATAATTTTATATAATTTTATCAAATTTTATTTTATTGTATTTTAGTTTATTCTATTTTATTTTATTTTACTTGATTATACTCAATTTTGCTTAATTTTGTGTAATTTTATTTGTTTTATTTTATGTTTTATTTCATTTTATTTTTATTGTATTTAATTTTATTTAATTTTACATAATTTTATTTAATTTATTTTATTTTATTTCATACAAATATTTTAAAATCAAATAAAAGATGTCCAAACTTCATCCAGTGTATGGCTGGTATGTAATTTCTGGGATAGTTGCAATTTGCAAACCAGTAATTTTTTCGAATGTAGAGTTCTAGAAATATGTATCTTGTGAATTGTTATAACTGTAACTGTATTGTTTAGATTATTATTATTTTCCGAAGTGGAAATTAAAACGTCAATAAACGTATTTTTACCTTTAATTCTGGCTTATTCCCAGTTAAATAGTAATTAGACCATTTTTATATTATATTAGTAAGGGTGCAACATTTTCTCCTAACTGTATGCTTTCTTTAGCTGATTTGCCAACTTGTTCATTGTATGTGATGCCTGAGTGTACTTTTATCCAAACAAAAATTATTTTTTTAGTTTCTTGCATTTACTTGCGAACGTAATTTTTACATTTTTCTTGCGAACTAATAAAAACACCAACACGACAATAAAAATCATGTAAACCTGTATTTAATGCCCATTTCTTAATTAACCAATTGGTTTTAGTAATACATGTTTATCCAGAATACTGCCTAAGGATGTCTAGGTAGGTAGAGATAATTTATTACTTTTTCTCCATGACCTCGTTTTCAATATCAACAGACAGTTAAATTCTAAAGTGTTGCAAAACTGTGATCAAGATTATAAATCTCTCAATAGCTCACACAATATTAATATTTGTGATTTTTATTTAAATATTTGTGATTTCCAGATGTTTATAATGTCGTTATGACTCTTTAATTTTTAATTTGGCATGGTATAATTCTTATTATAGAATATATTCGTCACTTTCCATCCAGATATAGAAAAAAGCTCCTGGAAGGAATTGAAGGAGCCAGCATTTTCGAGCAGTGGGACAATATAGGCTAAATAAAAAAATAATGCTATACACCGGGTGAGCTAAAACAAGAGGGACGGTTGAATATTTCGCGAACTTTACATTGCATCGAGAAACTGAAAGACAGTTTTTCAATATTTTTCAAAAATCAAGCATAAGTTTGGTGAAAAATAAGTGAATCCGTCTGCAGTGGGCAGGACATATGGCTCGAGCCCCAAAATCAAACATATAATAAAAAAGATTTAACAGTGCAGCCGGTGAAAATAAGAAGACCAGGCAGACCAAAGTTGAGGTGAATAGATGGGTTATCATAACATGATATGCAAATCGGTGTTGCCAACTGAAAAATCCAAGGAAGGTACAGAGCTGTATGGCACAGGAACTTTGAGAAGGTCGAGGCTCTTTAAGTGCTGCAGCACTGCGCCCGCCACTTGGCTGGACCGTACTGAAGACGACCAATAGTCTGAAATACGTATATACGGTTGCCTTCCATCGATATACATTTTTACTTTATATTATATATATATATATATATATATATATATATATATATATATATATATATATATATATATGCATATATGCATATAAAATATATTGTATTTTCGTTCTCTATAACATTCTGCCAGTCACTTCTTCTTTTATACGTAGTATGTGGTTATGTCACTGAATCACGTACAGATTTAACAGTTTATCAGTATAAATAAAAAACATATTTTAAAATTTTTGTGTTATTAACCTTATTAGCGATGTTAAATTGAGGAGGAAATCACCTTCGCGTGCTCTTAATTTATGAAATTGTAAATATGTTTGGATGTTCTCTTTTGTGTAACCGTGAGAAGGTAAATGGTTTAGATGAAGGTACCATAAATTATACTTACTACTTTCGGCTACACTTGATCTAAAAAATTCCTAAAATTGTGTATAAAAATAATATGTTGAATTTGATTGTTTTAGGAATGTTAGTACCACAAAATTTGTCGAAATACATTATAAATGGTTAGAAAAACCAAAGTGGTTTGTTGATTCTTCTCAAAATTTATATGCTATAACTTTACGTTGTACAAGCAGCAACTGGCTTGGATAAAAAAATCGTTTATGGTAGTAGTTCAAAATGTTGTAGATAATAACTTAATTGGTAACTCCAAATGGCTCCCACTAAGGACTGAAAGTAACCACCCGGAGTATGGAACCTCATCGACCTAGTTTTAAACCGAGATGTGTTAGAGACCAGAAAGAGAGGAGAAAGTTGAATACGTATATAGCAGTCTACAACCTATATCAAGCTGCGATTCTGATATTCC